ACAGTGGTGTTCATGCAAAGGGTGATGGGTTAGGGAGGGGGCTTCTTGAAAAGAACCCTCCCAGACATTTTAGAGAAGACTTTATTACCTGAGTATGTAATAAATGCTCATGGCTCAAAACCCTGAAGCTGACAAAGGGTATACAGGAAAAGCTCCTCCTCCCCCCCACCGTCTCCCACTTCCCATTAAAACCAAGTTCCCATTAAAGCTGTCGAGTAGGTTCCAACTCATAACAACACTACAGGACAAGGAGCGGCTGGTGGATTTGAACTGCCGACGTTTTGGTTAGCAGCCATAGTTCTTAACCACTGTGCCACGAGGGCTCCAAGATTCCCATTATAGACAGCTAATTTTATCAGTTTATTGTGAACCCTCTCACAGTATAATTACACACACATATGTATTTATATTCTTCTTCCCCCTTTTCACACAAATGTTAGCATGCTGGAAACACTGTCCTGCATCTTGCTTTTTTCCACTTGACGATGTATTCTAAAGAACAGTTCACATCAATACCCAAAAAGGCAAAAACTAATCTGAAAAGTGAAGTGTTTCTTTGAGGAAGTCGCCATTCTCTTTCGAGTAGAATTCCAGGGGAGGTAGGAGAGCGTAGGAGACGTTCTGCCAGGAATACACGGGAAGTCACCTACGCCTCCCCCTCCATTGCTTCCACACATAAAGGTCCTTAGTTCATACATCAAAAACATATTTTTAAAAAGTTATTCCAGAGCTCTGCTCTCCTTACCCTGCCTGCCCACCCCCCTCTCTACCTCCAAAACCCTTCCCCCAAAAAAACAAATGCCTTGCCGTCAAGTTGATTCCTACTCAGCGACCCTATAGGACAGAGTAGAACTGCCTCACAGGATTTCCAAGGAGCGCCTGGTGGATTCAAACTGCTGACCTTTTGGTTAGCAGCTGAACTCTTAACCACTACACCAGCAGGGTGAATTGAGACCCTATCCTTCTGGGTGTTTGTGCATTGTTACTTATGGTTTATATTGTTTATGCCATGTATTAGGGCTCCTAGAATTGTCTCTATTTTTTTTTTCCATTATCTTTATTGTTTTCGACTTTATATTTAGGTCTCTGATCCATTTTGAGTTAGTTTTTGTGCATGGTGTGAGGTATGGGTCTTGTTTCAGTTTTTTGCAGATGGATATCCAGTTGTGCGAGAACCATTTGTTAAAGAGACTGTCTTTTCCCCAATTAACGGACTCTGGGCCTTTGTCAGATATCAGCTGCTCATAGGGGGATGAATTTACGTCTGGATTCTCAATTCTGTTCCTTTGGTCTATGTATCTGTTGTTGTACCAGTACCAGGCTGTTTTGACTACTGCGGTGGTATAATAGGTTCTAAAATCAGGTAGTGTGAGGCCTCCCACTTTGTTCTTCTTTTTCAGTAAGAAGCTTTGCTTTATCTGGGGCCCCTTCCCTTTCCATATGAAGTTGGTGATTTGTTTCTCCATCTCATTAAAAAATGCTGTTGGAATTTGGACTGGGATTGCATTGTATGTGTAAATTGCTTTGGGTAGAATTGACATTTTCACGATGCTGAGTCTTCCTATCCATGAGCAAGGAATGTTTTTCCACTTACGCAGGTATCTTTTGGTTTCTTGCAGTAGTGTCTTGTAGTTTTCTTTGTATAGGTCTTTTATGTCTCTGGTTAGATTTATTCCTAAGTATTTTATCTTCTCGGGGCTATTGTAAATGGTATTGATGTGGTGATTTCCTCTTCGAAGTTCTATTTGTTGGTGTAGAGAAAGCCAACTGATTTTTGTATATTTATCTTGTATCCTGATACTTTGCTGAAATCTTCTATTAGTTCCAGTAGTTCTCTTGTGGATTCTTTGGGGTTTTCTGTGTATAAGATCATATCATCTGCAAACAGAGATACTTTTACTTCTCCCTTACCAATTTGGATGCGCTTTATTTCTTTTTCTAGCCTAATTGCTCTGGCTAGGACCTCCAGCACAATGTTGAATAAGAGTAGTGATAAAGGGCATCTTTGTCTGGTTCCCATTCTCAAGGGGAATGCTTTCAAACTCTTTCCATTTAGGATGATTTTGGCTGTTGGCTTCGTATAAATGCCCTTAATTATGTTGAAGAATTTCCCTTCTATTCCTATTTTACTGAGAGTTTTTATCCTGAATGGGTGTTGGACTTTGTCAAACGCCTTTTCTGCATTGATTGATAAGATCATGTGGTTCTTGTCTTTTGTTTTATTTATGTGATGGATTACATTGATTGTTTTTCTAATGTTGAACCATCCCTGCTTACTTGGTGTAAATTCCGCTTCATCATGGTGAATTATTTGTTTGATATGTTGTTGAATTCTATTGGCTGGTATTTTGTTGAGGATTTTTGCACTGATATTCATGAGGGATATTGGTCTGTAATTTTCTTTTTCTGTGGTGTCTTTATCTGGTTTTGGTATCAGGGTTATGCTGGCTTCATAAAATGAGTTTGGGAGTATTCCATCCTTTTCTATGCTCTGAAATACCTTTAGTAGTAGTGGTGTTAACTCTTCTCTGAAAGTTTGTTAGAATTCTCCAGTGAAACCACCCGGGCCAGGGCTTTTTTTTTTTTTGAGAGTTTTTTAATTACCTTTTCAATCTCTTCTTTTGTTATAGGTTTATTTAGTTGTTCTACCTCTGTTTGTGTTAGTTTAGGTAGGTAGTGAGTTTCTAGGAATTTGCCCATTTCCTCTAGGTTTTCAAATTTGTTAGAATACAATTTTTCATAGTATTCTGTTATGATTCTTTTAATTTCAGTTGGGTCATTGTGATATCACCCATCTCATACCTTACATGGGTTATCTGCTTCCTCTTCTGTTTTTCTTTTGTCAGTTTGGCCAATGGTTTATCAATTTTGTTGATCTTTTCAAAGAACCAACTTTTGGTCTTGTTAACTCTTTGAATTGTTTTTCTATTCTCTATTTCATTTAATTCTGCTCTAATTCTTATTATTTCCTTTCTTCTGGCACCCGAGGGCTTCTTTTGCTGCCCTCTTTCTACTTGTTCCAGTTGTAGGGTTAATGTTTTGATTATGGCTCTTCCTTCTTTTTGGATGTGTGCATTTATTGCTATAAACCGATGTCTGAGCACTGCGTTTGCTGTGTCCCACAGGTTCTGGTAGGATGTGTTTTCATTCTCATTTGAGTCTATGAATTTCTTTATTGCATCCTTAATTTCTTCTATAACCCAGTAGTTTTTGAGCAAGGTGTTGTCCAGTTTCCATGTGTTTGATTTTTTTCCCTTGCTTTTTCTGTTATTGATTTCTACTTTTCTGGCTTTATGGTCAGAAAGATGCTTTGTAATATTTTGATGCTTTGGATTTTGTTAAGGCTTGCTTTATGGCCTAATGTGTGGTCTATTCTGGAGAATGTTCCGTGTGCGTTGGAAAAGAAAGTATACTTGGCTGCTGTTGGGTGGAGTGTTCAGTATATGTCTATGAGATCAAGTTGGTTGATTGTAGTGTAGCATTTAGTTCTTCTGTGTCTTTGCTGAGCTTCTTTCTGGATGTTCTGTCCTTCACCGAAAGCGGTATGTTGAAGTCTTCTACTATTATTGTGTGTGTGGAGCTGTCTATCTCTCTTTTCAATGCTGTTGGAGTTTGTTTTATATATTTTGGAGCCCTGTCACTGGGTTATAGTTATGTCCTACTGGTGTATTGACCCTTTAATCATTATATAGTGTCCTTCCTTATCCTTTGTGGTGGATTTTAAAGTCTGTTTTCTCAGATATTAATATTGCCACTCCTGCAGAGCAAGCTTTCTTGTCCTCCTTTCTCTAAACAAGCCTGCTTGGTATTTAAGACCTGGTGCTCTGGGTATAAATAGCAGTGCCTGAAGCGGCTCAGGAGGCGGAGGGGTGGGGAGAAATAGCCCTGTAAAATGAAGTAAGGATGCTCTGAGTCAGGAAGGTTCATCAGTGAAGATGTTGTCAGCTTAGAATGGATCTTGGGAAGACTTTCAGGTGTGCATGCTTCATTCAGAAATGGCACATCTTGGTTTCCAGCCTCTAGTTTAAGGGCAGGAGTCTCAACATGATTAAGCTGGCAGGCTAGGCCAATGTCCCACGGGCTGTCGCTTCCTGAGAGAACAGGCCCTTCCAGGAGGGAATTGCTTCCTTCCTATACAAGGTCATCTGCTCTACCTGGGAGACCTGGGTGGCTAAGCCCCAATGCGTGTTAGAACCTGCAGCCCCAGCTCACACTGGGGAGGGAGAATGCCCGGGGTTCCACTGAGGAAATGGAATTTATAAAGATCCATGTCAGGGGTTTAGGGCCCGGCCTGCTTCCGCTCCTGATGCTAGAACCTTCCTTGAGTACCTGTCATCCCCACGGTTCAGGCGGGGCAGACTCCGCAGAGTTCATTAAAATGCCTCTCTAAACAGCCACAGCAACTAAGAATTCCAAGGTTTTCTCTAGGAGACCCTTGGTCTCCCCTTGTTATGCTCCCTCCCTCCCAGACCTCAGACATTTTTCTCAGACAGTCACCTAACCACGCTTTGGCCCCACTTCTCAGCTTAACCCCGCTGCACCCCCAGTCTTGGGTTAATACTGACATCCTACACCTCTGTGATTTTTGCTTTGACCTTGTCCCACAAGGCAGTTAAAAAGCCAAGAAACCAGTGTAAGAAATAATAGAATAAAAAGTGTGTTCTTAGAATCTAGGGGCAGGCAGGCTGGCTATTCAGTGTAGGTTAAAGTGGATTTCCTGCCTCCCCCACACACAATTCACCCCAGAAGCTTTCCCCTTTCCACAATTTGGAGGATTAAGAGGGGAGGGGGGCAAAGAAGGAGGGAAAGGGGAAAGAAAGGAAAGAGGAGGAAGGGGGATAGGAAGAGAGGGAAAGGGAGAGAAGAGGAGGCAGGGAAGGAAGAAGGGGGGAGGGCAGTGAGGGCAGAGGAGGGGGAGGAGGGACAGAGACAGCAGGGAGGAGGAGGGAGAGGAAGAGCAGGGGAGGAGGAGGAGGGAGAGCAGGGGAAGAGGAGGGAGAGTAGGGGAGAAGGAGAAGGGAGAGGGAGAGCAGGGGAGGAAGAGAAGGGAGAGGAGGGGAGGGGGAGGAGGAAGAGGGAGAGGGAGAGCAGGGGGAGGAGGGAGAAGAAGAG